GATGATTTGGGCAAAGTTCTGGATCTCGATCTCTTTTAATGGAATCTACCTTTATTCGTCCGAGTTATTTCCCACTGTACTGAGGTAGGAAAGCTGAGAATTGAATTAAAGTTGTCTTGCGAAAATACTCGTATAGGTAGGATCGTCGAGACTAAAATTGACAAATAATTAAATCGACAAATAAATCCGTTTATTGAGGCTCCCCCATAGGGGCTTTTCAGCCACAATGTAGACTAACTAAGTGCTTGAAAATCCCCACTGGCAGGAGGCAGACCAGTGGGCTATTTACAGAGCAGAACCGAGAAGTTGAACTCGGGGCAACCGAGAGCAAATCCAGTGAGTGGCAGGGTGGAGGACTTGAACCCAGGACACTGGATTACAAGTCCAGCACCCTAACCAGTAGGCCACGCCGCCTCCTCTTTAAAGGAGTCAGCGGGATGATGAACTGTGTTACCTAGGTTATCAGTGTCTTAACGCTGTTATACTGCCGTGGCAATTGAATGAAAGGCTAATTAAGCCTGATGCAAAATACTTGCATACTGATAAAAATATCGGGTCGAAAAATTCTAGCATCGAGATAACAGAACCTCATAGCAAACGTTGAAAGAACAACGAAATTGGGAGAGGGCACCGATTTATCCGGAAAAATGGAATGACGATTCTTAGTGGTTTTTTTTTATTATTATTATTTTTGGCGCTCATTTCGCAAATTTAATGACTGATGGTCTTATCAATTTAGAAACACTGGTCTAAGTACATCCTCAGGCTGCGGCAGAATTGACTCGATTCTTTGTACCTATATCCTCTTTCTTGTAAGTAACGTCTCGCTTCATCTGTCCACTGTTTCCAACTCATTGTTTTCCTGGATCGGGGTTAACAAACGAAAGATTATGACCTCGCATAAAAGAAGTCGTTTGATAAGTATGGGTAGGAAGGATGAATTATTTGTCGCCTGGGTGGAGGAATATGAGGGTTCTTTTGGGGGGGGGATCACATGGTTTTCAGGGGGAACGGGAAGGGAACAGACATCCTTAACAGAGTTAATTAGTTGCTAGTGAGGGGAAGGATCATACGGATGGGGGGGTGGGGTTCAGATAAAATTTATCGTGACATCATGACCGAGATCCTCAACAACCCTTCCCCCCCCTTCCTTCGCTATAATGAATGACTGGTCCTCCTGGATCAGTGTCACCGACAGTGTCAGCAATCCAAAGATGAACTAAAAGTCATATGTTGAGTAAAAGTAGTAATGACTCATCCTCTCTTATTGACATTTCTAGGAACGCATAAACCCTTTACTCCCATATGGAATCATGGGTGTAGTAGCTCTTGCTTCTGCCTTGCTGTGCACGCTGTTGCCAGAAACTCGTTTTAAGACCACATTGGAAAATACCGATCAGACGATTGAACATGGCAGCTTTACGGACGAGATAAAAAAGGATGACAGAAAGAGGATTTCAGCAAATGATGAAAAGTCACCCTTGCTCTCTCGTATCCAGTGCTAACCAGTACAGAATGTTTAACAGAAACCTGCTTTAATATGATTATATTAAAATCATAAAATCTCAGAAGGATTATTTTACATGCAATAAATATAATTGCCTCTAGTAGTCTTGTGTCTCATTTACGACGCAAATAATCCTAGTTTTTAATTCCTAAAAAATTTAAACTAGATAATTCGGCAGCTAGAGCTATATAAAATATCGATCTTCAAACAAATTAAAGTTTTTCGTTTGCGATTCA